TCTGTAGTTATCGGTCAAGTGCCACTCGTAGTGGTCAACTCGAACTCTATATCGTATGCTGTACTAGTTCATATTTATGTTTATGATAACATCGATATTTGCATGTCGCGACTTATCACTAATCAGCACTGTCACACTCACAAGTCAATGATAATATGATAATATCACTGGCTTGTTTATCATCAATTCTTTCCTGTCAGCTGTAATCCTAAATTTCTCGTTCTCTGATTGGACGAAGGTACCAATCGACAGCGTTGATTGGCTGAGTCAAATAATCACTCTGTAAAGACGCTCTATTATTGGTGAGATAAGTGCTCGTCTAGACTGCGACATGTCACTAAATCAACCACTGTAAGGTTGTTTTGTAGTATAAACTCCAGTGCTACGTACAAATGATATGACAGACTCTTTACTGCACGTAAGAGATATAAAATGGGTTGCAGCTCAGTCTGATTACCAGTCCGCAGGAGGAACAGTCAACACACGAACTTGGTAAACATGCCCGTGCAGGTACAGTGTCAGGATGGTTCAGACAGTATCAACTGGTGTCAACTGGTGAAGATTCCTGTTAGTCAGAGTATAGCTGGACAGGACGGACTGAATCATCATGGACTATCATGATGGACTATGATGATCGTCTGAAATTAAAAGTCTTGCTATTAAACAACAGTAAGGTTAGAGACGTTCATATAAACTAATGTCATCGATAGAAGCTGAGGGTTGTTGATGCTGATCGGGTAATGATACCTTTCCGTAAGCGTTTTTGTATTTTTGCAAGATAGACAATAATAACAAGATGATACCATTCTATTGTTAGTCTTATATCATTGAAGAGTTTTCTGATTTTATAGTTCTGATGTAAACAGAGGCACTACATTTATCCACTCATAATTCATATTAGATACAAGAGGGGTCGACCGAGGGACGATCTTCGACGGAGACCGAGGAATGACTATTTTGGCCTCGGTCGTCGTTCTACCCCTGTTCAAGAGAAAATTCACTTTAGGACTCGAGGAAGATTAGGACTCCTCAAACTACTCTTATGAATCAAATCTATTATTATCTATCTATTTATAGTTGTGAAAATAGGTTAACACCATGGTTAATGGTTACAGTAGCTTCGGTTAAAGTCAAACTTAACACTTCCTCTCATGCTACTAGAGTTGTACTTACTTGTACTTGATTAGGTCTCCTCAATCATTCGAGTGGCCTGCACCAATGAACTCCCGTTTGTGACGTATCATCTCCCTCCAAAGTTTTCGGTCACTAGCCATCTCGCTCGCTCCTTCTAGGTCTATGTCAGTGTTTCCTGTAAACGATGCAGTATCTTCCTGCAAACATTTCCTCCAGTTCTTTCTTGGACGGCCCCTAGATCTTCTCCCATGGGCAGGGGTCCAGTTAAGCAGGTACTTAGGAAGCCTAGTGTCTGGCATTCTGGTGACATGGCCAAACCAACGCAGGCGGTTTGCTCCTATGTACGTCTCTACTGGATTTATTTTTGCACGCTCCAGCACTTCAGTGTTTCTAACCCGATCGAGCCATCTTATCCTAAGTATTCTCCTCAAGCAACGCTGATGGAACACCTCAAAGCGATGTAGCTGCTTTTTGGTTGTGTTCCAAACCTCACTACCATATAACAATATTGTCAAAACCGCTGCCTTATAAATCCTGATCTTTGTATAAGACTGGATGTTGCGGTTTTTCCATATATTACTCAGTTGATTGAAGGCTCCGGAAGCTTTCTGAATCCTAGCTGACAGCTCACGGTCGATAGTACCGTCGCTGGAAATAATTGTACCTAAGTACGTAAAGTCACTAACTTGCTGCACTGGCGTGTCTTCAACAGTGATGTTCACTGTGGCTTCTTTCGTGTATGGCCGTTGAGAGGTTGCTTTACCAATGACCATAGCCTCAGTCTTTTTACCATTGATTCTAAGACCTCCCTGGGCACCATACATACACAAAAGGTCAGTTGTTTCTTGAAGACCTTCCTCGCTGTTATCCAGTACAGCCATGTCATCTGCATAATCTGTATCTAACACAGTGATATCATCAACGAGCGGACTGATAGATCTTTGAAGAACCGCTCCGTGGGACACCACTTTGTTGCTTTCTGTTCTCTCAGCAGCCACATTGAGGCAGACATTAAAAAGTGGGGGACCCTGAATGTCTCCTTGGCCACTGCCTGAACTTACTTCAAACCATTCTGATAGTTCACCATTGTGTCTAACAGCACTAACAGTTCCATTAAAGAATGCCTGTATTATTCGAATGTATTTACATGGCAGGCCATAATGACTGAAAGCTTTCCAAATATAATTCCTGTCGATGGAATCAAAAGCTGCCTTGAAGTCCACAAAATTTACATACAGGGGGAGATTATATTCAATGCAGTTATGTATAATAGTGCGGAGTGAATACATCTGATCAATGCATGATCTGTTCTTTCTAAACCCACACTGATTGTCTCGTAGCAGACTTTCTAAACCGTCACTCATGCGTTGTAATATGATGATTTGATACAGTTTAGATGCTGTAGATCTTAGAGTGATCCCCCTATTATTGGAGCAATGAGAGGTATCACCCTTCTTTGGTACAATTATCACGATGCCTTTCAACCAGTCGTCAGGCACTGCTTCTGAATTCCAAACTTTAGAGAACAATTTCTCCATCCTATCCACAAGACCACTTGCCCCATACTTTAACTGCTCATTAGAGATTTCGTCAATCCCAGCACTTTTGTAATTCTTCAATTTTTTGAGACAGTTTAAAATCTCAAGTCTTGTGGGGGACCATCACCATCACCAAGATAAGGAAAGCATGGAACCACTTCAAGATGGTCCAGGTCAGACATATCCGCATTCGTGGGAGGAGGGTTTAATAGCTCCGAAAAATGTTCTCTCCATCTCTCTCTCTGAGCAGAGGGATCAGCAATCAACTTCCCGGATTTGTCTCTTACAGCAGTTGATTTTCGATTCTTCTTACCGGACAGTGTTTTTATCCGTTGCCAGACTTCCCTTTGACGGCCATGGACAGCAGCTGTTTCCAGATCTGCTGCAACTCTAAGAGCCCAATTCTCGTCGTCTTTCCTGCAGCTCTTTTTGACAAGTTTGTTGGCCCGAGAATACTCGCTCCTATTGTTGTTGTCATTAGGCGCCATTTGTTTAATCTTACTGCGTTCTGCAATAAGGGTTTTTGTCTCCTGAGACAAATGCTGCTGCTTTCTGCGCCGGGGGCGCTCACCCAGTACCTCCATAGACACTTCTTTAATAGTATCCTTAACTAATGTCCATTCTCCATCAAGATTCTCCTCCATTGGTAGGCAGCTAAAACGATTTTGAAGAGCAATGCAGTACTCTTCAACCTTGGACTGATCTCTAAGATTCTCAATTGCTGGAGATATCCTACGAGAGGCGTTCATTTTTTGAACTGCCATAAGTTTGACTCTAAATTGACCCCGAACCAAATAATGATCGGAGCCAATGTCTGCACCCCTGCATGATCTTACGTCAAGTAGAGAGTGACTCCACTTGGTAGAAATACAGACATGGTCAATCTGATTTACTGTGCGGCCATCTGGAGACTTCCAACTTCCTTTATGAATATCACGATGCTGGAAAAGCGTCTAGAGTTGTAAGAGACACAATTTAAGTGATCTCGTCATAATTAACAGAGATATATTTTCTCAGAAACGTTCGGTGCTTATTGGCTAAAAGTTTTCTCTGATATTTACTGTTTCTGTACTCTGCAGGTACTATACGAGAAATCATTGCAGGCTTCGATGTCTGATTAATGTCTGGCGCAATTTGTAAGTGTCATAAAACGTGATAACCGAACAATTTTAAGTGAGCAAATTTATACAAGTTACGGTAATGCATCGTTTATATTTCACATTTAGTGAATTTACTTGTTTCAGTTATATTATTATTGTTTCAGCTCTATTCTATTTATCAAGCTGGTTAAAGAGTATAAAACCCCAAATCTGTCACACTTTGTAAAATTATTTGATGTTAGCGGATCTATATATTTGGTTGTCGTACAGTAATCAAATATACAGATAACTGTACTTTTCCGTAAGCGTTTTTGTATTTTTGGAAGATAGACTGGCGAATGAAAACCGGGTCCCTTATAATGCAGTCCTGATGTTGTCCCAGAAATATAAAATTAAGTTTATTCAGAAAATAATTTACCCCTCGAAATACCATATGTTTATTGAAACTGTGCGTATATGTTCATTATTTTCTCTCCTCAGCACAGTGAGGGGAAATCTGGGATTTATCATTTACGGCGACACTCCGTTTAAAATTATTAGTAATGCATTAAACTAGATGAATAATGCAATTTAAACTTCGTTTCATACAGGAGGGCCCTTTCTAAACCGAATAATGCTGAAGATTAAATCGCGGCTGTTTCGTGAGACATGAAATAATGATTCATTTAGTTAACTTATTTTACCGTACGTAAGTCTAAATTTGGACTTAAAATATGGGACATGTGCTACTAAGATTTGGGCTTGTACTTCGTAGTATGACATTTAAAATTTAAATATTTGACTCTTAATTTTCTCTTGTTGTTTCTGCCAAAAGTTGTCTTTTCATTGAAATAAAATTATACCAAATTATGTCACGTGAATTATTACAAAACAGTATAAGTCCATAGCGTTTTTGAAGAACAGTTCTCTCTGTAATTAATAAAAATCTTTGCCTTCAAGACCAATTCTTATATTTCTACTATTACTATACCATTCAGCTATATTTCAGATAAAATTAGGATAATAAATAGTCTGTAATAAAGGACATTAATGACATCAAACTGTTTGGAAGTAAGACTACATAAATCTTGCTGGTAACTTTTGATCTATAATTAGATATTATCAATCTCCCATCTAGGTGGAACATTACTAGATCTCTAATTAAAATTATTAATTTCTAATCTAACGGGGGATTATAATTGATCTAATAGTGTGAACCATTTAGGAAACTGTTATGTTCGCATTTGCTATGACAGACAAGCAATTCGTGTACAAACTAATTGTAAGGTAAGGGAAATCTATATCGGATATTTATTGTAATATTTATTATTTAGCGATCTCGATCCCAATAAATACCCTAATCTTCTATTTGTAATTTTATTACTCCAAGGATCACCACGGTTATAGTGTAAATATCGTCGTTAGATTTTTCTCCTCATTAGTTATATTCTTATTGTTTTGTCAGTCAGCTCCACCACGACGGATACAACGCTCTGGCGCTTCTCATGGAACAAATGTTACTCTCCTCCCAGAAGGTCAGTTCAAATGACATGCATTATTTGTATTGACCCGTGACAGTAATTTTGGTGTTTGAATTTTGATTGGGTTGCCGATATCATGTGTCTAAGCAATATTAATAACAGTTTAACTTTGATCCCACAGGTGCAGCCGAGTGACTGGCTAACTCAACTACTGAGAGTGTGCAAGGCAGTCAGTGTCGCTGATAGGGAGCTACTTCTTGATAAGGGTATGTGCACACTGCACATTAACCGTGTATATTCTTAATGTAAACCTTCCAAACCGCCATAATCTTCGCTCGTGTCTATTTGAAGTCTACTTAACTCAAATCTTTAGTTTGCAAAACTCACTATTTGAGCACAGTATTTCTATATTAGGGTATTTCTATTAAATTTGGTGTCCGGCCCATATTGTCCACTAGCTGTAAGGGAATATTCATTATTCATTTATTAGAGTATGGTCTATTTACCAATTCCTGCGTAATGAAATTGGCAAAATTTTGAGTATGTGCCCATCTCATCTAGTAGATATAGTCTCCAAAGTATCCGCTCAACATTTTTCAATCATTATTAAATTTTGCGCGCTGGTACTTTTACTAATCATTATATATGCACTTTTCGAATTTACAAAACGCTAGTAAAATCTAAATTGTAGCGAATAACTCCAGTAACTACTATTATTCAGCGTATCTCCATTATACTACCATTCATCGAACTGTACTTAAAGATAGAATCAGACCTTTATAAGTCGTGATTTCGATTGTAAATCTTCGTCTAGTCTTACTGTCCGAAAGTTCCTTATTTGGTAGTGTTACTGTGGTAACATGACCTTATATGGTGATCCCCGTACGTTTTTACTGCCCCGCATCTTTTTTCCCCCGAGCCACTAGCCAGGTCTCTATTTTTTAGACTATTAGAACCAGAATTTTAGTGGAAAACGTCCGCTCCCCTCGCCTGTCGAGCATGTCTTTGTGTTGCACGTGCACCCAATTAGATCTCAAGATCTATATCACGTGATCGTTCTCAACCAATGAGAAAAGCGGATTTGTGTGACGCGGTGCGGAGTGATGCCCTTTGGCGGTGCTCTCTCTCCCTTTCTCTCTCTCTCTAGTAGGTTAAAACAGTAGTAATGTTACGTACCGTGGTAAGTAACAACACACTCTGCCCCCTCTCTCTCTCCCCTTAATTTAAAACTACAGTAAAGTAAGTGCAAATATTACCCCAATCAAGGAATTTAGTGCAGCATTTGTCTTAATCAAGTCATGTAACGGGCGGTGCACACAGTTAGTAAGATCATGAGAGTGAGAGAGGGAGAGAGGGAGAGAGAGAGAGCGAGATGGATCTCTAATACTCGTATCCAGCTCAATTTAAACGTCAGAGCAGGTCAGAGAATAGGTCACACCAGGCTAAAGAGTGGGTGCCCGACCTGTACAGAGCATTACATTAATAGCATTAACGGGGACCCTTTAATTGATTGTCGGACACTGTTAGTTACCAATACTGGATTGTATTTACTACTACTGTGTCAGTCGCTGGTTCCTGGTTGGTCAGTTGGTTGGTTGCCGTGATCTGATTGGCGGAGAGCGGACCGCCGTTACCAGCTGGAGTTACATGCCTAATACTGTATGCTGCTCCCGATTGCTTTAATCAGTTTTAGAGAAATATTTCAAACAGACGGCTGTATTTGAGCGGCTATCTCTGAAAAACGACCTGGCTTTTAATTTAACCAAGTTGCTATCGTAACTATGTGTGGTGGACATAAATAAAAGTATACATGCATAAATAGATCGTTGTAAAGTAAAATGGTAAGGATTAAGATTGAATTGAGACATTTATTTTAACCATGCAGTTGAGAAAAAATGAGAATCTGTGAGTCATTTGTCCAGACGTCTGTTTCATAACGGCGTCCACAATTCATTATATCGATCACCGCCCAGGTGAAACGATTGAGATTTGAAACTGTTAAATTAAGTTCATTCCTCGCATGGTGCAATCTAAAGCTGATTAGACGATTTAAAAATCTCAATAACCCTTGTCTGATATTATTGAGCGGATTTGTGGAAGGACTCTGATCTCTGATAAGACAAGTTGGTGGACGTGGATATAACCTGGAGAATCAGAGATGTGTCAGAGTTACCTGGTCTACAAATTAGAAGGGAGGGTTTCCCCGAAGTATTATATCGTTTTCCCAGTAAACTCCTGGTAAACTTAACCGTGCGATCTGCTCATCTGCTGACTTATTTTAATTTATGATTTAAAATATACTCTCTGTACAGCCGCTGGTATAGTAGCTAAATTACTGGCAACAAAGTTAAACTAACGTTACGTTAAACTCAGTTTGAAGGCTGGGCAGCCGAGTGGTTAATAAATTTGTAACTACGGCCATTGCAGCGAAGCCTTTCGCTCCAGCTCTTGTAATTAGCCGGTTACAATGTAATCATATGACTGTTTGGATAAACAGAAATAAATAAGTATCTAGATTAAAAATACCCGTCTCCTTTCAGAGGGTTCCAACTGTTAATCAGTAGGATTATATTATGAGATCAAACACGTTCTAAATGATCTTGATATGAAAACTTTGTTACAAATGGAAAGAGGCTCATGGTAGAGGGAAGGGTTAAAGGCGTTGTTGAGGAAGGAACGTTGCAAGTAGTTCTGCTGAGGAAGGGACGGTGCAAGTAGTTCTGCTGAGGAAGGGACGGTGCAAGTAGTTCTGCTGAGGAAGGGACGGTGCAAGTAGTTCTGCTGAGGAAGGGACGGTGCAAGTAGTTCTGCTGAGGAAGGGACGGTGCAAGTAGTTCTGCTGAGGAAGGGACGGTGTAAGTAGTTCTGCTGAGGAAGGGACGGTGCAAGTAGTTCTGCTGAGGAAGGGACGGTGCAAGTAGTTCTGCTGAGGAAGGGACGGTGCAAGTAGTTCTGCTGAGGAAGGGACAGTGCAAGTAGTTTTGCTGAGGAAAGGACGGTGCAAGTAGTTCTCCTGAGGTAGCTTCTCTCTTCTTCCTCGGTCCTCTGTTTTCTGAACCTCACAAAATACTATCTGCATTTGAAAGTTCCGTATATCAACTGTCCGTCAAGCAATAAATCTGCGCAATTTTCATTACTCCAGTGCAAAGCTTCTACTAAAGTTTAGTACAAAAAGAAGTTGTATTTAGGACAGCCCATAGTTCTTCGTCCCTTCCTCTAACTGCCTCCTCTAAAGACGAAAGCGGACGATCTTTTGTTTTGAGGAGTATATACTATATAGCCCTTGTTTTATGAAGGTTGCCACCGACCTTTCAAGAAATTCAATTAGCTCGCTGAAATACTGAGAGAGTTCAGGACGTTTTAAAAACTTATAAGGGAGATACACAATTAATTTCTTGGGACACACAATGGGACAAACACCTCAGGATGAATTCTACGTAGAACTCTAAATCTACATCGCTAGTCCTGCTCAAATTATTTGTTATAATTTCAAACTAATTACAACACTACAAATTTATTACAATTACTGAGGACTAGTAAGGGACAATTAACATTAATACAGGACCATCTGGGAAAAAATTTGCAACAAGCTGATTTTTACAGGAATGTGTTGTCCATAGTGTCAGGAACCACCCCAAAGAGTTTCCAATCTGGATCTGTTGAGCAAAAAAAGTTACAGCCAATTTTCTTCAGGCGCGTATGTCAGCCTGAGGACCGCACTTGAAAAACTCGTAACTATCGTAATAAAGACCCCCAGGAGCACCATAGGGGGTGCAAAATGACCGCAATAGTGACATTATGTGGGTCGTCAGATCTTTACTTATTGAGATAATTTCATTTTTATAGGTAACGTCTCAAAAATTTACTAAAATTTTGAAATTTTACTTAAATCTGGAAATTTAGCAAAATTGTTGTACAATTAAAACATGGTCTAGTTATCAGTATTCAAATTCTAAAATTTATTTTCAATTACCAATTGATCCTTATATTAGTATAGTAAATAATATATACATATCACATCAAATTCTGTAAAAAAAGGTCCTGAATTATTAGCATGGTGTCTTTGATTGGCAACTATTAGGTCACTTCTGGCTATCCCATTTCCTCAGAGTTGTTTGATTCTCCTGAATCGTCCTGTCTTTCGGGTGCATTATTGCAACTTAATCCATGACATTGGCCACATGCAGGTAGACATTTAAAGCCATACTTCCGGCAGGAACACCTTAAACTTACTTACAAGGGTTCTCAACCTCCACCGAGCAATTGCAGCAAATGAGGTTGAGCATCCCTGCCGGGGTAATCGCAGCTTTAGTCGGGATCGGCCGGTAGTATCCTTCAGAACTCATCTCCCATCCATAATGTAGTGGATTTAGACTTGCAGTGTCGAGTGTCACCCAGTTATGGTACTGAAGATATGATCTTAATATATGCTCAGTTGCAGAGGATGTAGACGGTGGTAGCCTTGATGGGTTGAGTTTTTTCTTTGCTATCATTCTACTGTAGCTGAGAAATCTGAGAGTTTCAAGTGCCTTGGTTTTATCTCCATAGATATGTTGAAACAAGGAGAGGCCAGCTTCAATTACTTCATTTGTTGAAACTCTCACAGAGAGTAATGATGCTAAATGACCCTCCTCATGAAAAGAAACTGCCTTTTTCAATATATTCACCTTACCAAAGCCATGTATACTGCTGACCGTGTCACATCCTGAGAAACTGTGAACAAACAGTAATATGCGTTTTATGTTGGCATCAAGAGCATTTACTATTTTACTGATCGAGTGTGAGCCGTTTCTGGTCGTCACCACAATTTCGTTGTGATTCTCAGTAAAATGATGAATAAGGAGGCAAAGTACGGATCAGTATCCTCTGCTTTTACCTCAACATCTTCGTAGAAGGACAAGTTTAAAGCTTTACTGGCTACCATGGTATCAGCATCATCAGTAGCTACATGTACTTCGATTCCATGTTCTGTAAAAACGTTCGACAGAAGCTTTATAAGCTCATGCTTGTTCTTTGAGTTGCTGAAGAGTTTTTTCATCGGAACTGTGCACACAGTAGTACTTTTAATAGCTATATCAGAGCAGTATGCCTTGATTCTTCGCTGATGCTCATGATCTTTTGTTGATCGGGCATAGCCATCAAACACAACAATCACTTTCTGCTGTTCGGATTTCGGAACTAGCTTAAGGTATTCATTAGCTATGTCGCCGTATGTTTCAAAGCCTGTGAACGAGGTAACTTGATAGAGTAGCCATCCACCATCAAT